TTCCAGCGCGCTGACAGTTCCGATGTAGGTACGTACATGTAAGATGGGCAGCAGGTCGTTGGGGAGGGGAAGGAGACACAGCTTCACGTGATAGCGCGACCGTGCTGCGGGGATTTCTCCCAGACGCGTAGTAGTTATGGACTGTTTGCACTCAACGCCAAACGCCAATCCATCGATTAACACTAAGGAGCAGAAGCAGCAGACACCCCCAAAAGTAACGAACCAAGCTTATTCCTGGCCGTTGCACCTCCATTGCCCAAAGAGTATCAATTGAACGGGGAAAAATGGCCGACGCTTCCTCCAACCCGCGTGTCAGTGCGCAGTACCTGGACGCCTTTGTTGGTCGCAACGTCATCCTCGTCGGCAAGGTCACCCAGCTCCGAGGCGACACGGCCATCATTGACTCGGATGGCCCTGTGACGGCCGTCCTCGACCGCGTGAGTCTTACACCGAATTCCCACCATGCCTCCGTATCCTGCGAGATCGTGTCGTGCTGACAGCGAGACAAGGACGCCCACCTCAACAACGGCAGCGGCGCCCAGGTCATCGGCAAGGTCAACCCCGACCTGTCAATCAAGGTCCTCACCTCGCGAGACCTCGGCCCTGATGTCGACTTCAAGCTCGCCTCGGCCGTCGTCGAGGCGACCCAAAACTTCAAGCCGCTGTTCGTCTACGAAGGAAATTGACCGCTCGAATCCCGCCCATCCTTTCCCGCAGCGTACACACCGCCCTCCTCTGCCGCGTCACGGGCCAGCTCGCAAACGCAGTATCGTATGCCCGCGTCGGCGGCATGGCCAGACAGCAAGCCACACGCACCGAGTCCCCGTGCGACCCAGCCCGACCAAGCCTCTGGGCGCCATCCTATGATTGTGGAAATACCACTACGCGCAAAACGAGTCGACGAGAAGCAAGCGGTACCGCTGACCCCCGATCGTCACCCCCGGCACGGACCCCGACCCTCGGCCCAGGCACGAACGGATAGCAGAAGCGCTTCTGCAGATAGCAGCTGGCAAGGTTATGATAATGAAATACAAGCTATTGCACCGGAACCGCCCCATCGACGGCGGCTCGACTTGCCCGAGAACGTGATTAGGCGTGCTCAAGCGCCGCAGGCTGAGGATGAGTCGGAGCTGTTCGGAGCCATCTTGGAGGGGATGGGTCGCATGACGGTTACCATGCGGAAGGATTCTGGCGGGCGGTGGCGGATACAGCGGCACTCCAGTACCCTGCGGTGGTTTTAAGAAATCTCACGTCTGCAAATGCTGTGTTGGTTGCGCTACGGTGCCGTGTGTTGCAGCATGGCAGGAGACTGCGTGCCTTGGCCGTGAACAACTGTTGTTGCCCTTGCAAATCCATGATGTGTGTGATTAGTGGCCGACTACATCGTCGTAGTCTTTACCTTAACAGCACACAGACACTCTGACTTTGCCAATCATGGGCCGGAATCCCGCCATTGGTAGACACCAGGGTCAGAACGATCTCCATGTCAGCGAAGATTGCAACGTCCGCTGAGCTGGCGTGTCTATCGAGTCTTGGGATGGAGTTGCATTGTGACATCACCATTTCCATTCAGCCGGCCTTCACTCGCCCATTCAGCTCACCATGGGTCCCATCATCGGCCGATGCATGTGGTGATCGGATATTTTTACTCTCCCTCTCGATGCGTAGCGAGACGGATCAAGGTCTAGGGGGACAGTCGCTCTGTTTACGAATGTTGCAGCAATAGTCACACTTGTAGCTCAATGTCCATAAAAGTCTTGAGCGGTTCCGTGTGAGGGCAAAAACCAAGACCCCAGGATAACGATGCAGAACCCCATTTATGTTTCTTCCTGAATCGTGTCCAACAAGATTCTGCTTTCATTCATCAGTGGATGTGCTCTACGTTGCGGGCACTCTCGTCGCCTACGACGATGCACGCATCCAAGCAAACATATCATGCATCCTGAAGGCCTGTCCTGGCGTGAACTCTGTGAGGCTAGAGCAAAATATTAGTAACCTCGCTGAAGACAGCATCGGGACATCAGAAGCTCACCAAGGGTCGCTCGAGTAGTCCATGTAGTTGTGAATAGGGTCAAGGCCCGGCTGCTCGGGACAGCTGTCCTTCTCGACGGGACACCCCGTCGTGGCCAAACTCTCCTGCGGCGTGTCGTCAACCATGTCGCCGCCAAAGGGGTTGCACGTGCTGCCATGGAACGTGTGCAGCAGGCCGAACCAGTGCCCGACCTCGTGCACCGCCGTCTTGCCCTGCACGCCCTCGACGCCGTCGCTCGGCATGGTCGCCGCGAGGATATGGCACGGGTCGTTCCAGATGAACGGGTCCTCGCCGCCGCCGAGAGAGGGCAGGTTGCAGATGCCCGAGACGCCGGGGTCCATGTCCGTGTAGAAGTAGACGTTGAGCGTACCGTAGTCGCCCGCGCGCGTCGTCCTCACGAACTCTTGGAAGCCCGCGCCCTGTCCCAGCGGGCCACGCGCCAGCGCAGCGTCGACGGTCCGCGTCTGGCCCTGAGCACGAGGTGGATGTTGCTCGGCGCGAACGAGTCGACGAGGACCTTGAACTGCTGCTGCAGCTGCGCCTCCGGGATCAGGTCGTCCTGGCCCTCGGAGACGACGGCGTGCATGTGCACCGGCACCGTGAGGTTCGCCGCTGCCGACTGCCGCCGAACCACCGTGCCGCGCCTCTCCCGCTGCTGGAGCTTGCTGAGGAACGCGAGCGTCGCGGGGGTCGGATCCCCGGTGGCACAGAGGCCCTGACTCGCGACGACGCCGACGAGGGCGGAGACGATGGGGAGGACAGTAGAGAGTTTCATGGCGCCTGGATCTGGGGTGCTGTGCCTCTGACGCTTTGCGGGAAGAGTAAGAAAAAGGTAGCCGAAGAGATGCGACAGTCTACCCACGGCATAGCACGACGCCGCGCGCGGAGTTGCTGGCTTTTTAGATCATCATGAGATTCATGCGTTTCTTGTTTCGTTGACATGCAATACGGGTTGGCCTCGTATCGGCATTGCCATCTCCTCTGTCCTGCCCCTTTTGGCGTCGCGTCCCGGCTTTGGTATCGGCCAAAGTGGCGCCGTTTCCTTGGCGATTCCTCGGGGCCCTTGCAAGCGCATCGCCGACAATTTATGTGCTGTCAGATCAGAAAGCAGTGTCATGAAATGTAGTGTATATGCCTCGCCAAATAGACAATAGCTCGCGATCACCGCCCGGCGTCCATGGCCTGAACCAAGGATGAACACATCGGGCCAAAGATGACCAAGACTGCCCATCTTGGCCTCGTGGCAAGTTTGTTGAGCTCTACGCAAGACTTCAGCAACTCACATCTGGCCTTCCTTCATTGAAGATGGTATGGTATCGAAAAGAAAGTGCCCATCTATGTTTGTATGCTGTTGATGGAATTTCAATGCTACAGCCTCTCGTGAGTCAGATCTGGCAATTGATTGACAGGCCCAACTCTACAAACAGGGCAAAACTCGTTCACAAGGAGTTAAAAGATGTTTGCGAATGATAAGAAAGACCCGTTGGAAACCGACTCAGATCATGTTGCGAAAGAGAAAAGAATAGATAGCGAATGCTGACATTTGGCGACATCTTCTACACGAGGAACTCATCAGTCATAACACGTTCGCATTACGTGGGAGATCATCCCGAACCGAGATGCTATATCTTGGGGGGCGGAATAACGCAAAGCGCGGTCATCTGGAGTTGACGCAATGGCATTGGACAGCGACGGCGATCCCTAATCTAATTTATAGCGTCCAGAGCACGGGGCATTACTCTGTCTTGAACCTGCAACTTTGTGCGTCGAGGATCGTCAATCACGGGGACGAATAGGGGCCTGTGGGGGCTTGTAGGCGGACTGATCAGTGATCATCCTCCAGGCATGGCTGGAGTACCTGGGAGCCTGTTCCACAATCAGAACGGAGGTTCTGGCTGGATGACCGACTTCTTTTCAATCTTCGGAGGCTGACCAGCAGCTTTTCGTTGGTTTGGAAGAACGTTAACTGGCCGGCGGTCAAACTGAAACTGCTTTGCTCATGGTGCCCAGACTTGTGTTAATGTGAGGACGCTGATCTCTTAGATGAACAACCATCTTGGTCTGCTGCACCATGTTTACGGAATGCACATTGCGACAAGATGACCTGGCGATGCGGCGGCTTGGCAACAATGTCAGTGTATAAAAGACCTCTAGGCATTCGCAATGAACCATCGGCCGACACAGTCGAGTTCTTGTATCTCACAGCTACTTACCGTCTCACTCATCACCATGAAAACCTTTGCCCTCTTGCCGCTGCTTTCCTCCGGGGTCTTGGCACACTGTTGGTCCAGATATCCAGACGCTCCCAAGTACACCACGCTGATGACGCTTCACAGACTTTTTCCCGAACACAGTTGTCGACGGCGTCCAATCCGCCGAGTGGGAGTTCATCCGTGAAACAAACAACAACCCCGGCGCCGAGCCTGTGGAAGACCTGTCATCGACTTTCCTCCGCTGTTTCGAGAAACCCGGGCGCCCGCCCTCGGCTGTCCTCCCGGTCACAGCTGGCTCAACTGTTGGCTTTACATCCAGCAACAGCATGGGCCATCCAGGTCCCGTTCTCTTCTACATGGCGCGCGTGCCTGACGGGGAGGACGTCACGACCTGGGACCCCGTCGGTGACGTATGGTTCAAGATTGACCAGCACGGTGACCTCGGCGGCCCATATCCCCGCCTTCGAGACGGAAATGCGAGAGATATCGACAACCATCCCCAAGACACTGCCCAACGGCGACTACCTATTGAGGGCGGAGCACATCGGCCTACACGCGTACGGGACGCCCCAATTCTATATTGCGTGCGCGCAAGTCGAGGTTTCCGGCGGTGGCAACGGAACACCGGGGCCGCTGGTCGCGTTTCCCGGCGAGTATTCAAAGGAGGATCCAGGTCTGGCTGTCAACATTTACGCCGCAAGCCAGCCATATGAGTATCCGGGGCCGGAGGTGTGGTCAGGATGAGCAAACCGGCAGCGGTACGAATCTTGCGACATGCAATGAGATAAACATGGCCATGTCTATTGATAAGATGTATGTATGTATGTATGCGTTGTCATATACAAGCAAAGATATTATGTACGATGAAGAGGTCTAGCAGCTTGGCTGAACCCGACCATTATTCGTGATGCACACACCAGGTGTCCCGGAGCCATCACACACTCACTCACTGCCTTGCGATCAGGACCGTTTCAACATCCGCCCTTGCGAAGATTTACTGCCAGTTGGTGGTGGCACCAATGTTGCCACCCGAGGCGGGCAGCAGGAAGTTGCTGGCGACAATCTTGCCGTTGGCCTGCCTGGCGCCCTTGACGAGCGAGACGTCGACGCTCTTAAAGCTGGCGTCGGTCCAGACGGGGCTGCTGTTCCACGAGTTGCCCGTGCTCGTAGCGCTCTTGAGCGAGGTCTGGCCGGACTGGGCCGTCGTCTTGGAGTTGCGGGCCGCAATGTTGTTCTGGAACGTGGCCTTGGCGGCCGAGGTCTGGAAGCCGACGGCGCCGTTGTTGTAGGCCGTGTTGCGCGTGAAGAGGAAGGTGCCCGTCTGCTTGTTGTCGGTGAAGCCCTTGGCGGCGTTGCCAAAGGCGATGCAGTTGTTGACAATGTGGTCAGCGTTGCCGGTGCTGCCCGAGGGGAGACCGCCGAGCTTGAAACCGTTGCCGTCACCGGCGAAGGGGGAGAAGTTCCAGCGGTTGACACCGTTACCCCAGGCGATCGTGTCAGTGACGGTGACACGGTCCTTGAACTCCCTGTTGTTGTCTGGTTAGCCAGTCCGAAAGTGATGACCGTCTCGAGGCGGTCTCAGAACCTGTAGCTTACCAGAAGTCAAGACCGTCATCAACGTTCTCCCAGAGGCGAGCGCCGCGAAAGAAACGTTACCCTTTGCCGGAGCCCTGCTTCAGAGCGAAAACCATCGGCGCTCTCGCCGTTCTTGCGAGGGTCACGGTTGCGGTAGGAGTCGAGGTAGACAACCTGGTTGTTGGACAGGGCCCCCTCCATGTGGAAGCCAGTCTCGTAGTTGTCGTGGGTGGTGATACGCTCAAAGTAGTGGTTCGTGCCGTCACGGACGTAGACACCGTAGGGCCCGTTGATGAAGGTGAGCTTGTAGAACTTCCAGTAATTGGCCTTCTCAATGTGGAAGATACCACGGTCCTTGTTGGCAAGGGCGGCATCGAGGGCAGCCGGGGTACCAGTGAGGGCCTCGCCATCAATGATGACGCTCTCGCTGTTGTAAGCCGTCATCGTGTAGGGCTTGGCAGCGGTACCGCTCTTGGTGATCTGAATGTTCGTCGTCGGCTTGTGAGTGCCTCCACGGAGGTAGATGGTGTCGCCAGCGGCGGCCCTTGTTGACGGCAACCTGGATCGACTTGAAGGGGGCGGCGAGGCTGCCGGCGGCCCTGTCCGAGCCGGTGGTGGCGACGTAAAAGTCGGCAGCCGAGACGAGGGCGGCCGGCGCCACTGCGACGAGGATGCTGAAGAACTTCATGGTAACAGAGTTGGAAATGAACTGGATTGAAATGAGAGAAGAAGAATGGTGTGAAGATTAGGATTGACCAAGGGTGGAAAGATCGCCAAACTCAAGGAGAGCCTCTACCCCAGCTTGGGAACCGAAACTGACGTTCATATATGGGTTCTCGTTTCCGACGTTCTGGGCCCTCCGTCTGACTTGGCTTGAGCTTACCTTAATCCTTATTTTCAGGCCATGCTTTCCGGCCGAGATGATCGAGGCACTTGCCAGGTGTCCGCATCCCGGTCCTAGTCCTAGCCGGGACAACCGGACAAGCATCACGGCGAAAGGATCTGTCTACAGACTAGCTTCTGGGCAAAGTCCTCTTTGGTCGGCGGAGGTCGTTGTGTCTGATACAACTAGGGCGATAACTGACAGCCGAGCTGACGATCTAGAGTCGCGTAGAGCAGATTACAGGGCCTCATAGCGGGGCATGGCTTGGATTGAGTGCTGCTGAAATTGATTGTTTTTCTGGCATAGCGTCCTTCGATCGCGCGCTGGGTCTGGCTTGGGGCCCTGGTCCTCGCCCCCTTCACTCCGAGGAGTACTTGTACACAGAACATAAGTGAGAGATGGACCTGGGCACTTTGATTGCTGTAGACAAAGCAACGACAAGGAATCTCATGCGACCAAGTCCACCAATCCCTGTCTGGACCGGCCCGCCTATCTCAGTATTCGATCGGATGGCAGCATCAAGCCCTGTAGTGGTGAGATAATTAGCTCGGGTTGACTGCGACCGAATACGTAGAAAGTCATCCAGAGCTGTCCCCAATCTCCGTCCCGATCAAGCATCGGGATGTTTCATCCGGACATGGCGTTTTCGCTGGGCGGAGGCTTGACAGGGCATTCCCGCCAATGGACGGTGCAGAATTTTCCCCAGATCAGATCAGGGGCAACGAAAAGAGATGACATTGTCAGGCACGTGGTGTGAGCCATTCTTTGCAGTGCCGAGTGGTCTGGGCTCTGGGGTCTTGGATCCCAGCTTTTTGAGTCGGCGTGGGGAATTCAGTCGACAGGTCCCCAAGGCGAGCTCTGCAAGAAGTTTGAGTAACAAGAAACAGCGCCTTGGCCCTGTCATCGTCATAGCCTGCGATATTATGAGAGCTTTTTGGCCGTGGTGTCAAGAATCGATGGTCTCGCCTTGCCACATAGTTCTGTGTGCAAGGCTCGAATACGAAAATTCTTTGCAGACTCTCCTTACATCCATGCCCAATTTCTGACAGCGCTGACCTCCAAAGACTCGGTATCTCCGCAGCTTTCTCGAGCATTTCGCGGTCTTGTTCAACCTTGCAGAATCGATGCCTGTAATATATTCGGAGCGCCATGTACGCACTCCCCCAGCTGCGGCCATGGACGATCTAATGATGCAACGACACGCCACTAGATGTCACGCTGGCAATGAACATACTCGGTCGCCAACAGACAGGCGCGTGCCGCATTATGTCTCTGATATTGAGATGCATGAAATCCTTGGCAAAACTGCCGTAGACCAGAGCATCATCAGGTTTATGGGAGCTAGGCGAGGGCAGATTGCGGTTCCAAACACCAAGCTTTCCAAACACCAAGCTTTCCAAACACCAACCTACGATCTTGTCCACTGGCGGTCCCAAATACGACGGGGATGCAGCCGCCTAGGAACTCTAATATGATCATCACTCTATTCAAGCTAACGTCGCACAACTCCGTTCTGACGCAATATAATCTCATGACACGTCTGCTTGATGCCTTGAGTGTTCAGCAACAGCATCAACAGGGTTGCGCTCTAATCAGCCAGGATATCTCAGTCGCGCTGAATCGGCATCCTTGCGTTCAGAGTCGCCAGTAGCTGTGGGGCCATGCCAATCCGTTTAGGAGTTTTGCTTCCATATCAGAGGGACGAGGGGGAGATTGGCAATGCGAATGAACAACCTCCAGGGATTCAATTTCGCTCCTTCTTCTGTAGACATCGGTCTTGATGTTAATTAGAAGACTCAGGCTCTACCAATAACCGCAAACGCTCCAGCTCGCCCTTTTGCCACTCCGTCACCTTGCCCTGCCACTTCTCGCCTTTGCCGCCGCCCTTGACAGCCGGAACGGCCTCCTTGATTCTGGGCACGAGGCATCAACAGCCTTCTTTGGGACCGACGACGACAACGGGGCCCGACTTTTCGTCTCGCCCGTCGCAATGACACCGCCCCGCCCCCGCGGCGATCGCAGCGTCCTTGACCTCGGACACGATAAGGTTCGCATAGTCCAGGCCGTCCTCGATGCGGTAGACCCAGGCATCCCTGCCGGCCGCGATGGCCGCCCGCGCGCGCTCGCCTTCGAACCGCGCCAGCTCGGATAGGAGCCTCTTCTCCTTGCTCCGTAGCTCCGCACCGACGTCTCTCAGGCGCGTTGTGCTGGCGATGACCTGGTCGGGCGTGCCGCCGCAGGACAGGACCTTGCCGACGGAGGTCAGGGCCGCTATGGAGTTTGCCGCAAGCTTGATGGCGCGGTCGCCGGCTGTGAAGAAGAGGCGACAGTGCTTCACGTGGACGGGCTGTGTCGAGTGCAAAAGCCATGAGAGCAATGTGTGACGTCTTGGCCAAGATGAGTGCCGCCAGCATCTGCATTTCACGGTCAGTCCTCTAGATTCCCTGCCAGAATTCAAAATCGCAAAAGGTCAGTCGGTTGGACCTACGTGTTGCTGTCGACATCTCCAATGTGAATGACGCGCACGACACCCTTGGTCTTGTCGTAGTCGTCAGGCAGGGTGTCGTCCTTGGCGTTTTGTGGAACGTCGACCGTGATGGGCATGCTATCGCGGATAATCTCGTTGCAGCGGTCCTGGATGGCCTGGATCTCTTCGGGCGAGGGTTTCTGCGGTAGGTCGACATAGTTTGCCTCGCCCGGCTTGCCCATGCCCCAGCCGAGAGTCTCGAGGTTATCGCACTTGTCCATGACGGCCGAGAGGAGGTGCTGCCCCGTATGCTGCTGCATGTGGTCCCAACGACGGTCAAAGTCGACGGTCTGGCGGACCCGTGTGCCTGGCGCGAGGGGCCGTGGCGAGTGGTAGATGCATTGCAGGCCCTGGCGCTGGACGAAGTCAATGGGGATGGGCTCTGCCGCTTCATCATCCAGCGGTATCAGAGTGCCAGAATCGGAGGGCTGTCCGCCGCCTGTGGTGGCGAGTTAGCACGCAGAGACGGCTGATTCTGTGTTCGAGCAGCTAGCTGACCTTTCAGGAAACAAAGACCGAGTCGGCACATTCGATGAACCAAACATCTTTTGCTTCAGCTGACTCGGCGGCTGCTTTCGACTTCCTCTTGCCACCCTCCTGTGATGTAGGCGGCGGTCTCTTGACGCATGACAGGACCTCGCTTTCCAGGGTTCGCAGATAGGAATCTTGCTGACAGGCCAGCGCACCCACGACGCGGCCCGAGGACGCCGTTGCTGGAACAGTCATGATTGGTCTGTAGGCAAGACGCAGACTTGATATCGTCGGCTTGATGAATGTCAAAGGACGAATGGTTCGAGGCCAGTTCCGTATGAGAGGCACAATGAGCATGATGAATCACGATCCAATGAGGCAGTGGCCATTGATAAGGGGAGCGATTCGCGATTGAGATAACACCAAGCTGTGGGCGTGCTGGCGGCTGACTAAGGCATAATGCCTTCAAGGGAACATTTCGACAGTTCTAGAACCTCCCATCTGCAACGGCCTCGGCGACGTGACTCGCTGGGAGGGACAGACACATGGGATATGGATTGCTTGCTAGCTTCAGGACTTTCAGTGAAAGGCAGTGTCCAGACAGTTGAGGGTTATTGAAGTTGATGAACCGAAGGGGGCCGGTTAGATTGAGCGACAAGCCAAGCAACGTGATGTCAAAGTTCTTTAACTCGGTCCTCTCTCGCAACCCATCGAAGATCACGAGATTTTTATGCCCACCTCCAAAGTCATTGATGAAATCAGGGGATATTAACTGTCAGAGCTTGTGCGTACTATTCCAAGGCCAACAGACGACTTGGCATACGAATGGCTTGCATTTGAGACCTCAGAAATCGTGGTCAACAATGCATGTTCACTCCTTGCGTTTCATCCACAGACTGCTGAGCCAAGTCTTATTCCATCTATCTCTGTTACGAAGGAGGACTGGCTGTCACTCACGTCGGCATGATGTCTGGTGTCCTGCGGCTGGAGGCGAGCGAATTTCGGCGACATCGCTCAAGCAGTGAGATGACGGCGACCGGTCAAGGATCCTTTCGGAATACCTGGTTCAGAGTTGACAATCACAACTCGCACATGTCTTGACTCGGCTTCACGAGTGGGAAACGCAAAGTCTGACGAGACGCTAGTCGTCAAAGTTCAATTCGTGCTTGCGCGGGTCATTCTTTTGTAAACAAGAGCTAATATCTTCATTAAGATTACGGCTCGCGTTCATTATCCTGAGACCTCAAATTTAAAGGTGCAAAACACTTGGCTTCCGTGGGATGCACCGTCTTGACCTGCTTGAAGACATTCATGTACACAACGCATGTCCTGCTTCGTACATCTTCGCCCTCTCCATGACACAGCCAGACTACCTTCCCGATCAGCTCGAACAGACATAGACTTGTCGCCCTTCCTGCAGGTCATGATGCAGTGAAGCAACCGCCTCGGTGTCTCTCGGTTTTCGGAGAAATATCTCCACGCCGAAAGCCCGAGTTTGTCCAAACGACGCGTGGAAAGCTCAAGAAACAATGCTTCTCCAAGATGATAGGAACGCCGTAACATGAGGTCCCTGTCTCATCGACGCGTACATGGTCTGCGCTACCGAGGCCTCGCATCAGGCCGCATGGTCAGCTTGCTGGCCGAACAGAGACTAGCACTCTGCTCAGAGAGCCTCGGGCTAGGGTCGCAGAGCACCTAGACGCTATGCGAGCTCGATATGCATACCGGGGGATCGCGCCCGGTCAGAGAAGGTGTGATGGCTGCAGCGAACGGGGTGACATCAATGCGACTTGCGCGGATCCTGCGAGATGTGGTGGGTGGGTGGACGGCTCCCTGTTGTGCGGGGGAGGCGCACAATCGGCAAGTAATTGCCGGTGCCCTACATATCATGGAAAGCGGGGAGGGGCGAAAGCGAGACACGGTAACCATCTGGTTCGTATCAAGCCGAGTTGCTCATCGCCAAATTTAGGTTGCATCCGGAAGTCCGCCGTGTCGCAGCTGCAACTCTGCGGTGGCCTATCGCAACCAGCACGTGGGGAGCACTGCATCATTCTCGTTACTGATCACCTCGGCGCTTTAACGTGTTGAACAGCGAATAGCAGCGGGAAGATCGATCAGGATCGTTGATCAATGGAGCATGTTATTCACGCTGAAAAGCGAAAGACTAGATGTACAGTGGCCGGGCTGTGTTTCCTGAAACCGAATGAAAACCCTCCAGACTAAGGACAGAGACATGGAACGACATGACGCTTCTTTGCGGTGGGCTATTTCCGCGTGAGACTCAGAGCTCTTCAGGCTGAGCACCAGCAGAACGAACAAAGTCGGGCTTAGTGACGGCGTTGTTGTCAGCATCCTTCACGCGGTCCCAGAAGAGTTTGGCATTCTCTGGGTCGTCTGCGAACAAAGTGTCGACAACCTGCTTCTTGGGAGTGTCGCCCATCCACTGAAACAGGGAGATATCGCGGAACTCGTCGGCGCGGAAAACCTCAAGCATCTCGATAGGCTCGTCGCCGATATTCTCGACGAAGTGGCCCATGTTCCTAGGCACGATGCCGACATCTCCTGGCACGTAGTCGAAGGTCCTGGCGTTACCTTCAGAGGCAAAGATAGTGACACGAGCACGCCCCCGGATGAAGAAGGACCATTCATCGGCGTTGGGGTGCCAGTGCATCTCACGAATCGCACCAGGCTCGATGATGGCATGGGCTGCGGCGATGGTCTTGGAAATGGGGAAGTTTTTCGAGTCGGTGATGCGAACCTGGCCGCCGCCGTTGGTACTGTTTAGGGGTTCCTGTGCCAGCATCTTGTGCGTAAAATTGTGCTTCGACTTCTTCACGTTCTTGCCGCTGGGCGCTTCCTTGTCGATCGACCCTGGCACAGTGCCCTGGAAGATATACTTTTCCTTGGCAGGGATGTGTGCAAACACCTCAGGAGCCAAGTTGAAGTTCTTTGCAATAACCGACTTGGGGGTGTGAGCTGTCTCGGTCAGAAAGTGGCATTTCAAGTTGAAGGGGCAATCTTTACCCAGCCAGTCAGTGAGCACAAAGGTGGACTCTTCGGAGAAGTGACCATCGTCGAAGACCAGAAGGAACTCGGTTCCATTCTCGCTGAGGCCCTGCAGCGAGTGAGGGATTCCAGAAGGGAAGTACTATGTGGTGTAAGCCAAGTTGATGTGAAAGAACACACAGACAGTAATGAGAGAAAGCGAATGCTTACCCAGAGATCACCCTTTTCCAAATCGTCGATAAAGTTGCCGCCTTCGTAATCCAGAGCGGTCACTCGAACCTTGCCCTCTAGCACATAGGCCCACTCAGCCTCCTTATGCCAATGCAGCTCGCGAATGACACCTTCGCCCAGTCGCATGTTGACGCTGGCGAGTTCTGAGCTGCTCGGTAACTCTCGAACAGTAGTCTGTCGGGTCCACCCGCCCTCCTGCATATTGTTAGCTCATTCCCATACACGATAGCAACAAGCGCCCTCTCTTAAGCCATATTCATACTAACCTCGATGCGAATATGAGAGTCCGCAAAACTCCAGCGCATATTGCCCAGGTTACCGTGATCTGTGCTCGGCGGTCGTACGAGATCGGGGCTCTGGCGGGAACGAGCCTCATTCCACGGCCCTAGGACAGAGGCACCGAGGCCGTTGCGCCATGGTAGGGGGTCCAACTTCTCACCAACAGCATCGACAGCATTGTCATCAGGATCTCTATGCCCTGGAGTGAACGGAATAGGGTTTCCACCGGAGACGCTGCGGTAACTTGAAGGGATACCAAGACCATCAAGTAGTCGCTGCCGAGGGCTGTCTTGAACAGGAATGGCCGCGCAGAGCCCGGCTGCAAGGAGTATGAGTCTAGAGCGCATGCTGGGCAAATTGAAAGTGCGAACAGGGTCAAGTGAGTGGAGTGAAACTAGGATAAACCAGAACCACTTGATGTAGCAGGGCAGCAAGATAGGATAGTCTGGCAAATAGATGGTGTGAAGGGGTTGTTATGCGAGCATGTCGCCGGCTGCGGAACACCAACAAGTTGCCGAGTTGCTTTTGTACGTTCATCAATACGGCAAGGCTTTGGGTTTGCTGACTCCATGTATCAGCCATCTCAGACTCTGGAACCCGAACCCCGAGTCATTTCCACGGCGTTACATGTGAGCCGTAGCAGAAGGGGGAATGGTGGAAATGCGGCTGGTCGTCACGTCGTGAGGGGTACGGCTCACGGCACGGTGGCTTCGGCGATCGACGAGGGGGTTGCAGCAGCGCCGACCATCAAGTCACTGCAGTTGACCCGCGTCGGGAAGCATGCATCCAAGTGACCACTCGCGTCTCATCCCACGTCGTGGCGTCAATTGGACAATGGTCATCACACTGCATCAAGGTCAAACAACCAGTCACACAAGAAATGCCGAGGACTATTGGTCAGTGGCAATAGCCCGAATGCCGACGGAGTAAGGTCTCCTGTGGAAGTCCATGTTTATCTTGAACATCGAAAAAGATGAGGTGATCGCGTGTCATTCTTCTCCTCACATTCAACTTTATCCGAAGCAGAATTCGCACTCTTCTCGACCTCAACCGCGACGACACATGGGCGACAGACAAGACAGAATGGCCTCCATACCAACTTCCAACCCTTACGGCACTCTCAACAATTCAGCTCCTGTTGGAGGCAGCGATGTGGCCAATGGCCAGACTGAGCAGCAACCATTACTGGGTGGCCAACCATCCAAGAAGTCAAGCCTGAAGCATCGACTGGCAAGCGATGTGCAGCGAGACTGGGCTGATCTTGTCCTTTTGGCTTGTTACATCATCACTGGTCTTCTAGATAGTGCTTCCATCTCGACTTGGGGCGCTTTCGTATCAATGCAAACCGGCAAGTCAGCCACCAACCGGTCAACAAGGCTCATGATGGTAGACCATGCGAACTGATAACCCGTGAAATGGCAGGCAACACGGTTTACCTCGGACTTGGTCCTACCGCACAGAGCAACCGATGGAAGAAATCCGGCATCTCAATTCTGTCGTTCTGTGCAGGGTCATTCCTGTTCAGCCGCCTCCACCGAAATTTCTCGCCCTCACCCAAGCGACGCTGGATCCTTTGCCTGTCTTTCGCCATTCAGACTCTTTTCATTGTCGCAGCCGCTTCGATTGTGACTTGGGGACCCAAAGACGCTGGTCCGGATGATGTGCCATGGTATGTCATCGTACCAATAGCGCTTGTCGCGTTCCAGAGCTGTGGGCAGGCGGTTGCAAGTAGGGCTCTGAAGTACAACGCCCTCACAAGTGTTGTACTGACGAGTATCTATTGTGATCTGTTCTCCGATGCCCAGTTGTTTGAGAACCTCTTTACCAATGCCGAGCGGAACAGAAGGGTGGCAGCACCTAGTCTCCTCTTGGGAGGAGCCT